TTAATTATCTCTGCAACAAGGCCAGGCCATTATTATTCCCGTTTTACAGATGTGAAACTCATATGCAGAGAAGTCAAGCAAGGCACCCAAGGGAGCACAGCAAGTGAACTGAGATTCAAACTTGGTTCTGTCTGATTCCAAGTCTAGTCATAATGACAACAAAGACGATACAACAGTGATGGTGATGACAGTGGTGACGGGCACTTATTGAGTGTTAACTCTGTGCCAAGCACTGAGCCTGGCACTTACATATTTTATTAAATGAGTACTCACTGAGTACTAATTAATTAATTTAATTCTCAATACTAATTTAGTACTCCTGACAATCCCCTAGGGTAGCTGCTATTATTATCCACTGTGTTGTTTCACTGGGCCAGTTGCATTGGGGAGTGTGTATTTCAGAGAAGGTGATAAGGGGCTGTTACCTGATGCTTCACAGGCATTAAGTAACTCCAGGTTTAACGCTTTGCACAACCAGTTTAGGGCTCAGTATATAGCATGGCGACAATGTGTACAAAATAGAAATGAACCAGACAGTGGAGGATTTCCTTCCGAGATGCATAAATGAACTACACCTCTAGACTTAATACTATTCGAATTTTATTTTCACTGAGTGGCTTCCCAGGTGGCAGAGTGGTGAAGAACCCACCTGCCAACACAGGAGCTGCAAGAGACAAGGGTTCAGTCCCTGAGTGGGAAAGACCCTCTGGAGTAGGAAATGGCAAACTGTTCCAGTATCCTTGCCTAGAGAATTCCATAGACAGAGGAGCCTGGCGGGCTACAGTCCATGGGATCACAGAGTTGAACACGACCAAGCACGCACATGCTTATTCTCATAGACTCTAAAAAGGAAGACTTCATCTCTGAAGAACGAAATTTTTTCGAAGAATTCAAGGTCTTTCAAAATGGACTAGCCATCTTGGGTAACAGTGAGCTCCCCGATGCATTACAGGAAGACAACAAGCCCCCCTTTGGATCTGCTTGAGCTTCAGTTGCTGTGGGGCATCAGGGCGGGACTAGGAAGGAGGCTGTGAAGGAACGGGAAGATTGTAAGATCTGGAAGGAGGTCTGGGCTGGCGCCAGACACCAGGCCAAGGACAAGACCCCGGGGAAAAGGGCATCTCGAGGCAATAAGGGCGAGTCCGTGAAGAGGCCTGGAGATCACACTCGCAGGAGGGGAAGCGGCGGAAGGTGGGGTCCAGGGCCCCAGGAGAGCACTTTGAATAGCAGCTCCTGGACAAGTGGGGTGAAAGATCAAGTTCACAGGACCAGGAGGTGGTCTCGGTGGCCTAGGTGGAGACCTGCTGGGGGGAAACCCATGTCTGAGGAGTGGGGCGGGGAGCAGTGTGGGGAACAGGCGGAGTGAGTGAAGACTGGGAAGCCTGACAAAGAGGAGAGGGGGTGGGAGCCTGCACAGGGGCTTGCCTATTTGGTTTGTGTTTAGCCTGAAACAAAGGAAACAGGGGTTTGGGAATGCTTAAAGGGAACAGCTGATTCTAAGAGAAGGTGCGGGGGAGGGGGGCAGAAGTGGTCGAGAGGGAGCCCCCTTCCTCTGGAGCTGAAAGAAAATGAGCTACATTAGGGAGGGGGTGTTGATGACCTTCAAGACCCAAGGTCTCATGATGGGCTTCCCTGGTGGCTCAGTGGTAAAGAATCCACCCGTCAGTGCAGGAGACGAGAGCTCGATCCCTGAGTCTGGAAGATCCCCTGGAGAAGGAAATGGCAACCCACTCCAGTATTCTTGCCTGGAAAATCCCAGGGACAGAGGAGCCTGGCAGGCTACAGTCCATGGAGTCACAAAGAATTGGACATGACTTGGTGACTAAAAACAAATTCCAGGCAAAGGGGGACCTGGTGAGCACAGAGGCATGTGTTGGAAATGGTGACCGTTCCTTCTGTAGCCTGAGAACTAGAACATAAACCAGCTCAAGCTTGACCTAAGGCCACAGGGTCTGGCAGGCCGATGGTCACTCCGTTGGGTGGCTGCACCAAAGGAGGTTCTGGAAGGAGTGAGCCATCCTGGAGGCAGCCAGTCTGTCACTGGAAACACTGACAGAAGGGTGGCTGCATCAAACAGACGGGTCCCTCTCTCAGGCATCCCCAAATTGGGTTTCTATGGCAACCCGCCTCTGACCTGCATATCCCACAGTCGTTCAGTTTCAGCAGAGCCCTTGCTGAGAGTGCACCCAGCCACCTCCGAGACTAAGAGGTGTGGTCCTGGCCCAGGGCAGCCATGGTCTTGTCCGGGAGGCTAAGAGAGACAGACACCCACCAGCGTTTAGGGTGAGGACAGCTCAGGACTCCTCCTCAGGAACCAGGGATGGCTTCTGGAGGTGGCAACACCTCCTGAAAGTTAAAAGGGAGCTGGAGCTAGTGAGGCAGAGGAAGCTGGGGCCTGGGGGCGCTGGGAAGAGTGGCAACCTCGGGGAAAGTTCTCAGCGATGCAGAGAAAGAATGAAGAGAGACAAGGACGATTTCAAGGCACAAGTACCCACGGGCAGATGGTGACGCTGTGGTGAGGTGAATCCCAAGGAAACTTTATCATATGTGTATATGTTTGGCAGGTTTGCATTTTCATAAGGAAGATGTATTAATTTGGTAAATTGAATAATCATAATAGTCAAAAAAGGGAATAATCCAAAATGTCCATCACCTGATGAATGGATAAACAAAGGATGGCATATCCACACAGAGGATTATTATTCAGCCACAAAAAGGAATGAAGTGCTGATGCTACAACGTGGATGAACCTTGAAACCACTTGCTGAGTGAAGAATCCAGACAGAAAAGGCCAAATATGCTAGGAGTCCATTTATATGAAATGTCCAGGAGAGGTAAATCCATAGAGACAGAAAGTAGGTGAGTGGCTGCCAGGAGCTAGTGGGGAGGAGGGAATGGGGATCGTCTGCTTACTGGGTGTGGAGTTTGTTTCTTGGTTCGTGAAAATGTTCTGAGATTAGAGTGGTGCTGGCAGCACAACACTGGGAATGCACTAAAATCCCCTGAATTGTAAATGATTTAACTGGTTAAATTGAATGATTTAACGGACCAAATTGTAAATCGTTAAAAATGATTAGAATGATGAATTTTACATTATTTGTGTGTATGCTAAGTCACTTCAGTCATGTCTGACTCTTTGCAATCCTGTAGACTCTTTGCAGTCCTGTACCAGCCAGGCTCCTCTGTCCATGGGACTGTGCAGGCAAGAAGACTGGAGTGGGTTGCCATGCCCACCCCAGGGGATCTTCCTGACCCAAGGATCGAACCCACATCTCTTACATCTCCTACTTTGGTGGGTGGATTCTTTACCACTAGCACCACCTGGGAGGTTATTTACCTCCATTAAAAAAAAAAAATAGATGACCCAGCAGAGCACTTGTACCCTTAGACTTGGAGACCACATTTCTGAGCCAGAGGAAGAACTAAGCTGATTGAAATAAACCAGTTCATAAGTAGAAAATGCCACACACCCACCCACCCCCATGACCATTCATTCTTCAGGCTTGCTATTTCCCACCCGGCGAGGCCACCTGCCCGCTGGCCTTAGGGAGAACCACAGTGCCTCCATTGCCCCTTCACGTTCATTCATTCATTTATCCATTCATTTAATAAGGATTTTATGGGCGCTTTCTTTGTGCCCACATTTCAGGTAAAATGCATGGAGGTCCTGCCCTCTTGGGTCGCCTCTTGTGGAGGCGAAGACAGCCCAGGAGCAGGTGCATGTAGTCAATGGCCATGAATGCTGTGAACCACCCAGGAGGGTCAGGGGTGCGGAGAGGACTGGTGTGCAGTGTTGTCTGCAGCTAGCGGCACATCAAAGCCAACTGGTGCACTGGGAAGACCCAGAGGGATGGGCTGGAGAGGGAGGTGGGAGGGGGGATCAGGATGGGGAACACATGTAAATCCATGGCTGATTCATGTCAACGTATGGCAAAAAAGCACTACAATATTGTAAAGTAATTAGCCTCCAACTAATAAAAATGAATGGAAAAAAAAAAAAAGCCAAAGGATGGGTCATCCACAGGTGACCTGGTATCAGAGGCTCCAAAGCAGTTTTCATGGCAGCGGATGACTTGGCCACATGTGTCTAGGACCACCATCGGGACCCCTGGCCTCCAGGGTGGAAGGACTCTAGACCCTGACGCCTTCTCCCGCCCATCACTGACCACTGACCACTCCCCCGACAGCCACATTCAACTCCTCCCCATCCTTCTGGCCTCGGACCCTTGTCCCTTTTGTTCCCGCTGCTTAGAACATTCCTTCTTTACACCCCTGTCCTCTGCCTGGTAACTTTTCCAGTCTTCATGTTTCCGCTCAGATGTGGCCTCCTCCAGGAAGCCTTCCTTAACTGCACTGCGCATTCGAGGTCAGGCACCTCCTCTGGCTCTCAGCACGGACCACACAGCGTCGCCATTGTCTGATTCCAGTTGTGTGTCCCTCAGTGGACCCTGAGCTCTGCCAGGACCAGAATCCTGCCTGCAGCTCTGTGTCCCAGTTCCACCTTAGTGGAGAGCTCTGCAACTATGGAGCTGCCATTAACACACGGAGCTTGCAATATGAAGGCACATAAAGTTTATAGCCCTCTATAAACACTAAATGTTCATAATACACCTGATAATTTAATTGAGATGGAGCACGTTAAGTCAAATGTAGAAATAAAAATCTTTCACAGAATTGCCCTGAACAATGTATCTTAATTCATATATCCTATTCAGCGAGTGTCCACCAGACGCAGAGTCCTGGAATACGAACGGCAAAATATTGACTCTTACAAGGTCAGGGGCGAAAACAAGAAACAGTAAATAAAGCTCTTTGGCGGGTGGGCTGGCTCTCTCTCGCTCTCTCCCCGTAGACACACATACTCGCGCGCACACACACACACACACACACATATACACACACGCGCGCGCATGCGTGCACATGCTCACACACAGCTTACCTCAGACAGTGGCAGCCAAGTCCTCTGTCACCAGGGACTGCGTGGAGCCGATGATGAAGTACCTTTGTTTGCTCTGACCGGAAGCAGCCGGCAGGTCCGCAGGGACAGGACGGGAACAGAGGAGGCAAGATTCTCCATGAGCTTCTGGAGGAAGAGGGGTGGGTACTGAATGAACTGGAGGCACAAACACCCCACACCTCCTAGAATAAAACATCTCTCCGGGGCCAGGAGCCGTTCTTACCGTGGAGGACACTTCATGTCACTTCCAAGGGGAGAGTGACTTCTGATGATACACGGACAATTCCTAAGAGGGACACCTCCAAATTAATATTGAAATGCTTTTTAAAATCTGGTTTTCATCCACTGTAGAATTTTTATGTACACCTTAAAACTATCTGGGGAAATAGTTTAAAAACCAAAGATATTTTTATGTGCATCTTAATACTATTTGGGGAAATAGTTTAAAACCCAAAGACACTTGGAGAAATAAATAAAAGTAAAAAAATAAGTCAGTGTCCCAGAGAATACATTTGTGCGTGTTTTCAATGGAATCAAGATTATAAAATTTCACAAGTGTTCTGATCTTGTATTATAAGAGTTCCTCAAAGCACCATATTTGTAGCAGCCACTGTGAACAGCTGCATAATCTGCCAGCTTATTGTCATATACCCACCTCCTAACCCTGCCCTTGGTACATGGTAGGCACTCAGTAAGTATGTGTTGCATGAATGCTAAATGACCAATATCATTGATGGGATATATCGCCATTTACTTAACCATTTCCTGCAGTTGGACATTGCGGTTGTTCCTAATAACTTGCTATTATAATCATACTGTGATAAATTGTGCAATTAGTTATATCTGTGTCTCAATGATCAACCAGAAAACCCCCTCAAAAGGTTTTACCCAGGTGAAGGATGTGACTAGTTTTCAGCTTACAGGCTCATCTGCCAACAGATATTTTTTTTTTCAAGCCAATATCTGCCTTACTTTAAAGGCTGGAAGTTGGGTAAATATTTCTTTATCCCAAACCCAACACCAAGGCAGCTAGAATTTACATTTTGTTTTGCAAAAGCATGCGCATTCTCCTTTAGGAATAACATTACACTTTCTTGACTTGAATTCAGATATGAAATATATACTTTTGAGAAACCCAAGAGAACTGACTCTGATATGAATTGTATTTTAATAACAGTGACTTGCATCAGAAGCCAAAGGACAGAAGGGAAGGAGAGGGGAAATTTACAATTTACTCCTTATAAACAGAAAAAAAAACCCATAAGTGAGAAACTCAGGGAAATGAATCATCTGTGCCTTAAGACTGTCTTGAGTAAATACAGTTGGCGGCAAGCTCGAAGCTGCCTGGAGCTCTGCTTGAGTCAAACCCAAAGTCTCCATCAGTAGAGACCACCATAAATTGAGGGAGAATTAAAAGTTCAAGAGCCTGATCTGATTACCTAATTCTGCTATCATCTAACAAAGAGTCGAAGCAGAGAAGGCAATGGCACCGCACTCCAGTCCTCTTGCCTGGAAAATCCCATGGATGGAGGAGCCTGGTGGGCTGCAGTCCATGGGGTCACGAAGAGTCGGAAAGGACTGAGCGGCTTCACTTTCACTTTTCACTTTCATGCATTGGAGAAGGAAATGGCAACCCACTCCAGTGTTCTTGCCTGGAGAATCCCAGGGACGGGGGAGCCTGGTGGGCTGCCGTCTATGGGGTCGCACAGAGTCGGACGCGACTGAAGCGACTTAGCAGCAGCAGCAGCAACAAGAGTTGAAGACGCTAGGTCGTTAAGGGCTCTTATGACAATAAGCAGCTTTAAATACCTGCCACCCCTTAGCAGTCCATGGGGTCGCAAGAGCTGGACACGACCTGACGACTAAACCACCACCACCACCACCCCTTAGCAAGTGAACTTTACTGGGCACTAACCAGAGGAGTGAAGTTTCAGATGGTTTTTACACGACAGGTTTATAGCTTTGTGAATGTGTATGGCCTTTAACTTCTGCTCCCGTGTTTACAGGACTCAGATGACAACTCCAGACATGACAACCAGGTGTCATATGGAAATTGTTGGGTCCTGGCAGAGGTTGCCCATATTGTGAAGGGTGTGTCCAATTCTTCACAACCCCATGGACTGCAGCTGGCCAGACCCCTCCTGTCCATGGAATTTTCCAGTCAAGAACACTGGAGCAGGTTGCCATTTCCTACTCCAGGATTGTAAGGGGGTACAGGACTGAAAATCAGGGGGCCTGGGCTCCAGATGCTGTGACCACTCTGACACTGACATGCTTCGGGGCCTTGTTCAAGGTGCTGCCTCTCCCTGGCTTCAGATTCATCCTTCTTCCAGTAAGGAGCTTAGGTCAGATGGTCTCTGTGTGCCTTCCACTTCTTCGAAAATATCAACTAGAGATAAAAGTCACTATGTACATGTTTACTATATGCCAGAGTCTCAAACGCTATATGGGGCCAACCCTTGACACCTCAAGCTCCTCTTTCTATCATCTCAGACTGACTCTGGTTTCAAGCATTGACTCAAACCATCTTCAAACTCCTCTGAGCTTTTTTTTTTCCTTCAGTTGGCCACTTCATAAGGTTGCCAAGAGAGTCAAAACATTGAGGTTTCATAAACTTTGAAATGGAGAAGGAAGTGGCAACCCACTCCAGTAATCTTGCCTGGAGAATCCCATGGACAGAGGAACCTAGAGGGCTACAGTCCACAGGGTCACAAAGAGTCAGACACGACTGAACAACTAACACCACACTACTAAACTTTGAAATACTAGACAATTTTGACAATTTAAATCAGAGCATATCTGAGTGGCTCCTCCCTAGTATCACACCAGGGGGACAGATTGGCAAGCTTTGTAATGGGGTGCATGGAGAAAGAGCCTCCCAAGCCTCACGCACTTGGAGAGGTCAGATTGCTCCTCTAGAGCCTGGGTCACCCCTTCAGTAGGGGTACAATCAGCTCCAACATCTGTCTCCCTTAGGAGCACATGAGTCCCCTGAGGGCAAGGACCACGTTTAGATTCAATTCTGCCATCCACTTTACTGGGACCAGGCATGGGAGCTCAGTTGCTCAGTCGTGTCGACTCTGATAATTTCTGGACTGCAGCCAGCCAGGTTCCTCTGTCTGTGGGATTTTTCAGGCAAGATCACTGGAGAGGGTTGCCATTTCCTCTTTTAGGGAATCTTCCCCACCCAGGGATGGAACCCAAGTTTCCTGAGTCTCCTGCATGGCAGGGGGATTCTTTATCCACTGGGCCATCAGGGAAGCCAGGCATGGAAGATACTCCAGAAAGTGCTCAAAGGCATAGGTGGACGGGGAGAGGTGGGGAGGGGACAAAGAAGCAAAGAGGGTGGGGGACCGCCCTGGGCAGGACTGCGTCAATGCTTTGTGCTTAGAGAGTGATGGTTCAGCCCGCCTGGCACTCTTGCAGGGAAGCAAGATCTGTTCTCCTGGGTCTTTTCCAAGGAGACTTGGATGAAAGCACCATGCCCGGATTTCACAGGTCACTGGAATCCATCTCTGTCAGGTCCAGCTGAAAAGACGCTCCCAGAGTCTGCGACGGAGCTGGAAATGCCCCCCAAAGAGCCCCCCGGGGCCTCAACATCCAGACACTTGGCTGGTGTGTCCCCATGACCCTGGTGGTTTGTATCCAGGCAAAACAGGGGCGGTTCTTAGGGCGTCTGAACAGCTCCAAGAGGAAGCACATTGGGTCTCTCGAGTAAAGGAACACACTCTCATGTCGTGAAGATTTTCACTGTCAATCTCCCAGTGGGGAGATGGAAATGACTGACCAGGATTCTCATTTCTCAGAGGAGAAAAAAAGGCTTAGGAACAAAGGGCTATCTAAAAACCTACTCTTTTTGACCCTGAACCCACTCTCCAAACGCTCTGATTTGACTTTGCCCTTATTCTCTCCATCCTGCTAACACAGAAGCCCTCCCCCACTCCTGGGCTGACCCTGGTCCACTCTTTCTACTGGAGGATTCATTGGGTCCACCTCCTTCAGGAAGTCTTCTCTGATTACGCATGCCAGCTCCCCACATCCACCTGCCCTGTCCAGATCCAGACCTCTTCCTCTGGGCTTTGACACAGACCTCATCACCTGTGTTGTCCTTGGCTTCGATGCCATCTGCTCCCTCTGTTCACTTATTTATGAAAATGTACAGAGCACCTAGAGGAAGGGAGACTGAGGCTGGGAGTGAGTCCAGTGGTGCATGGCCACCCAGAAGGTGGATGAGGAGCCATGGGAATGGATGTTCATTCAGTGAATTCAGAGAGAGTTGCCACGTGACTCCCAAACGCTCAATTCTTTGTAACATCTGCCTCTTTATGGGGCTGCATTTCTGCACAATATTTGGACATTAGCCCATCCTCCTGGTCAGGATGGCAGGTGTAACTCAGTAACCTGCCAGGTGTTAGCCCACCAGCCACCTGTTCACACAAGCACATGCGTGACTGAAGGACTTGGCTAAACGCCCCATAGAGCAGAGAGAGTATCATTTCCACTCTAGCATTATCCATCCTTGGTCCATTTACTGAGGCATGAAGCCGAGCTCCTTTAGAGAATTCAACCATTAGAGAGGTGTGTTTAACTCCCAGATCTGCCACCTGATAGAAAGTAACTCTTGGGAACCTCAGTTTCCTCTGGTGCCAGATAAGAATATCACCAGTTCATGGGTTGGTATAGATGATGCACTAATGATGACATGCAGCCCAGCTCCTCCTGGCATACAGCAGGCACGCAATAAGTGGTACAATATTATTGTCTGTGTTGAATGCTATCATCTGCTTTTATAATTGTATTGATGTATTTACTATTGCCTGTGCTGGGTCTTCACTGACGCACAGGCTTTTCTCTAGTTGAGGCGAGCCGGGGCAAGAACGAGTGTGGGCTATCCTCCAGCCGCGGTGCGCAGGCGTCTCAGCGCAGTGGCTTCTTTTATTGCAGTGCAGGGCTCAACGGTTGTGGTCCACAGGCTTAGCTGCTCCTTGGCAAGTGGGATCTTCCTGGATCAGGGATCGAACGCGTGTCTCCCGCATTGGCAAGTGGATTCTTTACCACTGAGCCGCCAGGGAAGCCCAAAGGTTATCATCCTGTCTCTACCCTCACAGCTTTTGTAGATAAGTTTG